CCAGGGGTGGGGGGGATGGGGTGATGGAAGGGACATCCAGCTTTGCATGCACATAGCTCACATCTCGTAGCAGCAAGACACATTCACTGTGGCAAGTCATATTTGCGTAGGTTGTGAAGCCTTCATGATTATAATTCGTTCCAGTTGAATAAAATGGGTGAAGGCAACGGGAATGCAACGAATGTAAATATTGGTAATTATTCCATTGGCCCACGTCCATGTGAAATTATTGGCTTGAACCGCATGGGAAGCACAAATGGGTGATGGTGTGCTCTCTTTTTTATGTAGATCTAACGACATGGCTTTGTACTTCTATTGATGGCGCTAATCATTTATGAATTAATCCAAGTTCACGTTTTTGTACAGGTACCCTGCTGAATGTGGGAGAGCATAGTTATCGAAACATCGGAGAATTCCGTCATGCTGCCCCGGAGCTACCAAGGCACGAGCTGCTGAGACTCTGAAGGCTCGAGCTGCTGCAACTATCAAGGCGCTGCTCAGACTTCCAGCAGAATTTTCTCTCCTCATACCAGCTATGGTGCCTTCCGTTCGCAGTCCATTATTGTCGCACACGCCATTCTTCGCCACGCTTCTGCTGTCGCTCCTCTTCGCAAGCGCCAGACTTGATGGAGTCACCTTTACTGATGACTCCGATAGAGTCACCATTGAAGATGGTGGAATCCCGAATCTGCGAAGCGTAGCAGGCGCGTCAGCAGAGCCGTCGGGAGCGGCGCGTCGAGCGGTAGTGGAGGACGAAGAAGCGCGGGAGAGGGAGGTGCGGCTGTTTATCGTGGAGGAGGCGAAGCAGGTTGGCGCTGGTGAGGAGCGGGTGCATTCATAACGTTGTAGCATTCATACGGCTGTAGCGTTCAGAACGTGCTGCCAGACCGGCTGTAGCGTTCAGGGTGTGTCGTTAGATCACGTGTAGCTTCCTTCTGTGCCTACTGCTGCCCGCAGCCATTTCGTCACATCCCACGTCCATATCCTGCGGTTTGTGAATTCTCGCCATTGCACTCATCATTCCCCCGGCCACACATCCCAGTGTGCCTGGACGGGTCCGCGCCAGGGTTCTACTACCGCAGGGGGCATGGCAGGGGAGCCAACAAGTGGCTGCTCAACTTCCGGGTGAGATGGGTTGGCATGCGGACATGAGGACATGCGGACATGCGGACATGCGGACGTAGAGACATGGAGAGATGCAGACACCATTGTAACACTGCAACCTCACGACATGAGTCCTCATGTTGCTCCAGCCTGTCAGATTGTACGCCTTGCCATGCCATGTCATGTCATGTAGGTTCCTTGCTTCTCGACTCTCGAGCATGCATGCATGCATGCAGACATGCAGACATGCTGACATGCTGACATGCAGACATGCAGACACGCAGACACGCAGACACGCAGACATGCAGACATGCAGACACGCAGACATGCAGACATGCAGACACGCAGACATGAACGCCTGCTGGATCGCAGGCAGGCACTCCTTCCAGCCGCGCACACACCAGATTCTGATTCTGATTCTCCTTCCGCCCTTACAAGCTCTCTCCTCCATCCCTTAACAGCTGCCCTCGTATCCTCCATTTCTCATTCGTTCCCTCCTCTCCCCCCCCCCACTCTCCCCCTGCAGTCCGGCGCGTGGTGCACATCCCCCTGGGACTGTTACAACCGCAGCTCCTCGCTGTGGGGCAGCTCACGCCACTTCCCTGACGTGCTGCCCGCGCCGGGCATCCTCTCCGCTCAGAGCGATGTCAGCCCGGGTAGGCCCAGCCGTGTCCTTGTTGCTTGCTCTTGCGTTCGCGCTTCAAGGCATGCTCAGCTCCCCCCTGTGGGTCAAGTCAACTCCTGCTGGTTTCTAAACGTGCTGCTGACACTGGGAGTGCCTAGTGCGGATAGACATGTCAACCTAGGCAGCATCACTCTATTACCCCGATGGTAACATCACTCTATTACTGCCGATGCGGGGTCCTGACTAACATCTGTTTCTGCTCCATCACACCCCTTGAACTCCCCCCCAGACTTGTACGACTGGAATCTGGTCATCTTCCCCTATTGCGATGGGGCGTCCTTCTCCGGCGACAGGCAGGAACCGCTGGTCTTCGAGGTGAGGCGCGCACGGCTGCTGTGCGCCGAGTGTGAGCGCGCGCACTGCATGGCATTGCTGCATGGGTTCATGCCCAGCATCCCTGCCCATCCTCGCCCTCTCTCCCTGCACGGCCTCACACACCCACATCCCCCACCCCTCGCACATCCCCTCACCCACCCCTCCCCAGGGAGCGCCTCTCTTCTCCCGTGGTCGCCGCATCCTCGACTTCCTCCTCTCCCACCTCACAGCGCGATTCCACATGGGCACCGCAGAGCGGGTGAGAGCAGGGGTGTGGGAGTCGTGTGCAACGAATGTTGGATGCACACCTCCATTTCCTCCCTAAACCCTAGACTTGCATTCCCGTGCCGCACTTCAAGCGTTGATTCGAATCACCCTGGCATGTCTGCACCTCCTGTCCTCCATCGGTTTCCTCTTTCCTCTTCGCCCCACCAGGTGCTTATATCAGGGTGCTCAGCAGGCGCCCTGGTGGTGTATCTGCACTGTGACTACATTCGCCACACTCACATCCCTCCCTCTGCTCAAGTGCAGTGCCTGGCAGACTCGGGGCTCTTCCTCGACATGTGAGCACATCCGCCCATACACCATGCATCAACCCTGACTGCTGCACCTCTGCCCTATCTTGCATCTCCTCTCACCCTGCACCATCGCACCCAGTACCAGCCCACCCCTCTGCACCTCGTGTCATCCCGTGCCATGGCAACTCGCCTTTGTCCTTAATGCACAATACTGCTCCCCCCTCCGCCACAGTCCAGACGTCAGTGGGGGCAGGGCTGCCCAGACGCTCTTCCGAGCCGTGCTCTCCATCCATGTGCGCCCTCTCCCTCCCATGCGCACTCAACGACTTCAAATGCTCTTTTACTTCTGGAGTTCCCTGTCACGATGCCAGACTTTTAGTTTGACGTCAATAGGCATCCATGGCCCACTCCCTCATGCGTGCATGCTTTCATGCCGCATACGTGGCAGAATGTGACTGGCAGTCTGCCCAGCTCCTGCCTCTCCTCTCGACCCCCTGAAGACCACTATCAGGTGTGCCACCAGAGGTGCGTTTATCAGGTGTGCTTTCATCACATGTGCTTTTATCAGGTGTGCTGTGCTGCCACCAGATGGTGCATGCTTTCGCCAGGTGTGATGCAAGTGCGCAAGTGCAGAGGGCTACCAGTTGCAACGTGGGTGCTGGCGGGGGCTGGCGGTTGCTGGCGGTTGCTGGCGGTTGCTGGCGGGTGCTGGCGGGTGCTGGCGGGTAGCACAGCATACTGTTCCCAAGGTAACACGCCATGCCATGCCTGTTTATCACTGTGCCACACCCTTTGCTGTGCGGCATGGCAGTGTTTCATGACAGCGCAGCTGCTTCCCCTGCTCAAGACGCCTGTCTTTGTGATAAACAGCAACTACGACCTCTGGCTGGTAGGCTGCCTGCATTTCCTCCTTCCCTTGCCTGCTTTCGTCCTGCCACCATCACAGCGTGAGCCCAACCACTCTTCATTTTCCTCTCGTGAATCCGTCCGTGCATCTCCCTATCTTCATTGCCCCCCACCTCCCCCACTCGCTCCCCCCAACCAGCTGCGCCACGCCCTGGCCCCGCCAGAGGCGGACCCTTCAGGCGCCCTCATAGCCAACTGCCTGAGGAAGCTGCACACGTGCAACCAGTCACAGCTCGCCACCTTGCAAGGTGATCCTGCAGTCACTACTGTGAGCAATGCGGCCATCCGAAATCGTCTCACATTCGACCTCATTCCACCGTTCTCCATCTCCTCTCTCCTCTCCTCTCTCTCCTCGACCCCAACCCCCCAGGAGTGCGAGCGACAGTGACAGCCACAGTCACACCCCTCCTGCCGCCCACGCCTGGAGGAGCAGCAGCAGGAGCGGGAGGGGTGCAGTTGGGTGCGCAGCAGCAGCACGGGGTGTTTGTGTTCTCGTGCCTGACGCACTGCACGAGCCACTACGAGGACCACTGGCTGCGCCTCACCGTCAACAACCAGGTGATGCTCGTCCCCCCTCTCTTCCCACTTCATCACCCACTGCCTCCCTCCCTCCCTCCCTCCTGCAGCACTGCCCCTCAGCTTTCCTTCTCCCCTCTCATGCACATTCACTTCCTTCCTTCAGCCACCCGCATGTGGTTCCTCCTCAACCACGCTCTCATCGCAGCCTGTTTCCCCTGCTCTGTCCCTCCCCTACCCCCCGTTCCCTCGCACCCCTGCTTCCCCTGCAGACGCTGGTGCAGGCAGTGGGCAACTGGCTCACAGCCACGGACAGCCAGGGCAGCAGTGCAGGCGTCAGCCAGGGGGAGTTTGACCCGGCACTGATCGACTGCCCGTACCCGTGCAACTCGTGCCAGGTGCAGGCAGGTAGAGTCCCCGCAGCACCACCGCTGCTCAAGGCAGAGCCGCCTCAAACCCATGGGGATGCGCCACTGGAGGCTGCGAGTGTGGGGCCAGTCAAACCAGAGACAGCTGCAGTCCAAACTGTTGTGTAACACGTTATGCTGTTCATTGTTGAGTGACCCGCTGGGGTTGCCCTTGAGATCCTCGGGGAAGGGCCACAGGTGCAGAGCCTGGGGGGCTATGGGCGCACTTACCCGCTATTCAACAAGCCCTTTTAACCCAGTGGTTAGTGACTGGGTTTCTGACATGGTATCAGAGCCAAAGGTCTTGGGTTCAACTCCCAGTGCCAGCGCTACAGAGGCGCTCGTGTCTTCCACCTATCCCAGCGGGGGGGGGGGTGTTGAGTGACCCGCTGGGGTTGCCCTTGAGATCCTTGGGGAAGGGCCACAGGTGCAGAGCCTGGGGGGCTATGGGCGCACTTACTTGCTATTCAACAAGCCCTTTTAACCCAGTGGTTAGTGACTGGGTTTCTGACAGTTCATTTCCTTTATTTCGTTAAAGTGAGCTGGTTGCCTGTGCAGGCGCAAATGAACACTCCGCATGCTGCAATTGTCTGGTGCAGCTGCAAGGCAAGCAGTCTACCACCACAAATAACTGCAGCACAGCACATCCGCTTCTTTGTACAGAGCAGGAGGTCATGGAGGCATGCATACCAACTCCAACTTTCCGAAGGTGCAATATGCAGAGCACAGTGCATCCACCATCCAGAACCCATCTACCTACCACCCAGGTGCAACATAGTCCTGCCACCCATCTATCGCTGCCGCCAGCATCAGTCACTCATCAGCGCCAGCTGCACCCACCCCCCCTCACTCCTCACCACCGTGCTCCGCCACTCTGTGGTACGTGGTGCCGTTGATGTTGACCTCTGTGCCCTCTGACCCCGGGTACTCAAAGAAGAAGGCATCCTCCACGCGCCCCCCCTCGTACCGCAGCTCGATGCCATTGCCCCGTATCTCGTATTCCCCCCGTCCGCCCCTGTCCTCGTCATCCACCTGCCCTTCCCTCTCCCCATTCCCCATCCCCATCCCCACCCCCACCCCCTCTCCCCCGCCCCTCCCCCCAGATTTACACGGCAGTATCCCCGTGCCGCCCCGCACACTGAACGTGCCATCGGGGCGGAACGATACGGTGGTCACTCCCTTCACCCCCGACGCCTCCGCCGCGTCCACGAAGTCCCTCGCCGCCTCGTGCACAAACCGCCCGTCCAGCCGGCACCCGTCCTCCGCCTCGCATGGCTGCACCCTCTTAAACACCACGTCGTTCCCCAGCCGCACCTCCTGCTGCCCGGGGGAGAGCGCCACCTGGCACCCGTCGTACTCAAACTCGTGTGACGGGCCGTGCGCGTGCGAGAGCGGTACGAAGCGGTGTGGGTTGGTGCGGCGGTCTGCATGGAAGTCGAAGTGGCGCGGGTCACCGTGGGGCAGGCCGAGGTAGAGCTCGCCCGTGGTGAGCAGCGCCCAGTACTCCGTCCACTGCTTGAACGAGTAGCTGCATTGGGGAGGCAGTGGGGGGGCATTTGGAAGGCGAATAGGGGGATTCATTGGAGGGGGGGAGGATTGGGGGGTGCATTGTGTGGGGGGCCCATGGGGGGACAGGTGAGAGGCAAAGTGGGGAAGGCGCAGGGCAGTGGGGGCGGGGTGATGGCAAGAGACGGGGAGGGCGCTGACTGCACGGTATGGTCGGATGTGAGGCAGACGGGTAGAGCTCACGAAAGGACAAGAGGGGAGAGCCAGGCTGACGGGCTCAAGGGGGGGCACATACCCGAAGGTGAGCACGTTGGGCGTGTAGTGTCTGGTGCGCGCCACGTACAACTCTTCCACCGCCACCGCCTGTGGCGTCTCCTCCTCCTCCTCCCCCTCCTCCTCCGCCGCGCGCATCATCATCTCTCGCTCTCGGCGCCACCGCTCCATCCGCTGCTTCACCGTCTCGCGCCCCCACTTCCGACCGCTCGCCTTCCGCACTCTGCGGCTCTCCGCTTGCGCCGCCTGCGCGACTGCGCCAAGTGGCGCACCACCGCCGTTTCTCCGCCCTTCCGCGCCGTTCTCGTCCCCGCGCGAGTCAGCTCCCTCCGCTCCTCCCCCTTGCCCTCCGCCTGGCTGCGCGCCAATCGCGCGCACCCCCACATCCCTGAGTCCCGGCGGGCGTTCCCCGCCATCCGCGGAAGCCGGGTCTGCGCGCGCTTGACGGGTGATGCTCGGCAGCGGGAAATGCGGCACGTGGCGCCGAAGGCCGTCCACGTGGCGCGCTAGATGCTCCCGCCACTGGCTCTTCAGCCTACCGCTCTCCCACTCCGCTTGCACGCCTCTGACGAAAGAGACTAAATCGAAATCTGGACCGGACCGTGCCGTTCCCTCCATGGCGAGGCAGCTTCAGTGCGGTGATGCCACGTAGCGCAATGCACGTGGGTGGGGGCGCGTGCGGAGCGGACTGGCTGGCGTCACTCTCGTGTCTAGAGTCTAGACTGCGGTTGCTGCAGTTGGTTCAGGTCGCTGGGGTGGAATCCTGTTGGGTCTTGGCTCTCTGAGCATGCTTGGTGCTTTTGCAGAATGCGCATGACGCAGCTGCAAGGACTGCCTAGCCTACCTACCAGCCCACCACAGTCGTGAGTCTTGACTGCTTGAATCGAGGCGACCGCAAGGGGACCACATGCATGCTTGTAACGGGAAAGCTGAGGTGGATGTGGGAACTTTGGAGGTGGGCCAATCGGGGGGAGATAGAGGCCAGCTTTGACTCGGAGCCGCGTCACCAGGCTTGCTGCTGGCGTGGACGAATGCTGGCGAGAACACTTGGCTCGAGGTAACAGTTCGTGGGTAACAACAGCTCGAGGTTTGATTTTGTTTCCTCCGAACACCTGGCTCAGGCAGGGCCGTGAACATGCGGGGGAAGAGGTTGCGTTGGTGTACAATCAACTCATTTATTCCTTTTGAGGTAATGGGACGACAAAGTACTGCATCGCTCAATAGCGAACCAGATCGGCTCTCTTCGATCGCCCCCTCCTCGCACTCGCACATTCCCTGTCGTCACCATATGAGCCGCGAGTCCCGCCGACAGTGCGCGTGCTGCTGCGCGAGAGCATGCATGCAGGAAGCTTCTTCCGCCTCCTTCCCCGTCTGCCGCATGCGGAATTCCCGAGGAGCGCGCTGTCGCAGCAGCAGTGGGGAAGGGCTGCCGCTGCGGGTAGTATTGGGCGCGAGAATTTGCCGCGCTGGCGCCTCCTCACGCGGCAGGAGGGCAAATCGGCGGAGGCGCATGGCGGGCGTGGGCGGAGCGGAGACTGGGGGGACTGGGGCGCGGAAGGGGCGCATTCGCTAAGGGGGTCGCTGAGGGGGATCATTGGCGGAGAGAGGCGCGGATTGCGGATAGCGCGGTGGTTGGGGTGGGCGAGCGGGGGGAAGGGGGTGGCGCGCCTAGAGCTGGTGTGCCGAAGGCGAGGCGGGAGCGAGCGACGTTCGAGCTGCATGGGGAGACGTGGGACGACTGGTACAGGTGACAACTGGTACATTTGACAACTAGTACAGGTGACGACTAGTACAGGTGACGACTGGTGCAGTGACGACGGGTGCAGGTGACGATTGGTACAGGTGACGACTGGTACAGGTGACGACTGGTACAGGTGATGTTCACAGCATATCGATGCAGCGAGGTTGGGACGTGCATGATCACTCAATCTCCGAAGAGTCTGTGCCGCCGTCTCATTGTGCTGCTCTGAACCCCGGGCCTTCTGCGTGCATGCGTGCGTCTCTGTGTGCGTGTCCTCTCCACCCGCCCCTCTGCCAGCTGGATGCAGGACGTGAGCAGCCCCGCCATGCGGCAGCACCTGCAGCGCGAGCGCGCGTACCTGCGCGCCATCATGGCGCGCACCCACGGCCCAACCCTTCGCCTCGGCTGCACCCGCGCGTGTGGGCGGGCGTGCGGAGGAGCAGCGCCCAGCGGAGCACCGGGATGGGGGCATGGCAGCGCGGCAAGCGCGGTCCATGCGGGAGTGGCAGTGCGTGCTGGTGGCGGAGATGGAGGCCAACATGCCTCCGCCCACTCATGCCCCTCCTGAGCCATGCGGCCCATGGTGGGTGGGTGGGTGGGAGAGGCATGGTGGGTGCTGTGACGTGCGGCTCTCACTGCAACACCTCTTTCTTCCCCACGCTGCTGTCACCTGCTCCCTTCTCCCCTCCCCACATCCCATGACTCTCCCTTTTCAGAACCCCACACCACACCCTCCCCCAGCCGCCCCCTTCTTCCCCTCCCACACCAACTCCCCCCCCCCCCCCCCCAGGCTGTACGGAGCGCGGGTGCCAGACGCAGGGAGCTGCCTGTGCTCTTTCGCACACCGGCTGTCACAAGCTCTGCAGAGAACGCTAGTGGGGAGGGCAGGGGGAGAGACAGGGGGAGAGACAGGGGGAGGAGCAAAGGGTGAAGCAAAGGGCGGAGCAAGGGCGGAGCAAGGGGAGCAGGTGCTGGCCGACCTGAATGAGCTGGCGGACCACTACGGTGATCCCTGCACCCTCGCACTCCCTGCTGCCTGCTTGCCTTTCATTCAGTCTTGCTGTGCCCCCATTTCCCTCACTCCCCGCATCCTCACCTGCTTCCCCACCTGCCTGCCTGGGCCACAGTATGGTTAGTCATGCCCATCTATTCCCTCCACTCCACCACACCCCCCCCGCACCAGGCTACGTGCGCCTGGTGGAGTGCAAGGTCAGCCGCTGCCACGGGCTGCTCGCCCTGCTGCTCGACCTCTCCCCCTCCGAGTCCCCCACGCTCTTCCTCTCTGCCTCCCTCCGCGCCCACTCCCTCCGCCTCCCATCCCTCCCGCCCCCTCGCCCCGCCCCTCTCCGGCCGCCTGCTCTGCGCGCCCATCCCTGCGGTGGCCACGGTGGAGTGGGCTGCTGACTCGCAGCACGTGCTGTACACCCAGCTGGACGACAGACTCAGGTCGCACAGGTGAGCATTGGGCGGGGGAGAAAGAGAGCGAGAGGTTGGCAGGCTGTGAGGTGCCTTAAGGCTGGCACTTGGCCGAATCGCTAACCCCATGCTGAGTTACCCACCACATGGCCAAGGTAGCCACCCCATGATGTTGCTCTGTGGCACGCTGCACGCCTGGATGCTTCATCGCCCTCCGTGTCACGCCATGGCGCGTGCAGCACAGGGTGATGAGCGGCGCGTACACAGTCCAGTGGAGGGGGAGGCACGGATGCAGCACAGAGAGGGGTAGAGGAGGGAGAGGAGGAGTGGACGCAGGAGGAAGGGGGGGAGGGCGAGGAGGAGGTGTTGCGGAGCGAGGAGGAGGGCGTGGTGTGGCTGTGTCTCGCACCAAGGACTGGCGCTTCCTCACCCTCAACCTCAACACACGCAGCTCATCGGAGGTGCGCATGCACTGAAGCGAATGTCCACATGTGCATGCATGGGTGCATGTACACATGTGCATGCATGGGTGCATGTGCACATGTGCATGCATGGGTGCATGTGCGCACATGTGCATGCATGGGTGCATGTGTACATGTGCATGCATGGTGCATGTGCACATGTGCATGCATGGGTCTGCACATGTGCATGCATGGTGCATGTATATATGGAGTCATTTCACTCCCATTATCCCGCCTGCCTCTTCTTACTTGTGCCCCTCTCCTTATTGTTCCTCACACTGCCCGCCCCCCCACCAGGTTTATCTATTGGACGCCCACAGCCCCCAAGGGGCGCCTCAGCTGCTGCAGGGGCGGCAGGAGGGCGTGCAGTGGTTCGTGGAGCACCACGGGGGGTGGCTCTACGCCGTCACCAACCAGAGGGAGGGGAGGGTGGGAGAGGGTGGAGAAGGGGAGAAGGGAGGGGGAGGTGACGGGGAGGTGATGGGGAGGAGGGGAGGTGGGGGAGTACCGCATAGTGAGGGCGCCAGTGGGCTCTGCGCACTTTGCTGACAGCTGGCAGGTGAGAACAGAGCGCATGGGTGGCGGCTTGTGTGTGCCCTTGTGTGCCCGTGTGTGCCCTTGTGTGCCCTTGTGTGCCCTTGTGTGACCTAACCAATTTCTCGCGGCTTGCCCCCGTCGCCCCCCCCATCTGCCTGTACACTGTGACCGCCACAGAGCCTTGTCATCGGGGTGGAGGGGTCGGACGTGCGGCCATCAGACGTGGTCATATCGGACATAGAGGTGTTCCGCCGCTGCCTCGCCATCCACTGCCTCATCCACACCCTGCCGCACCTGCTGCTGCTGCCCCTGCCGCCCCCTGGGGAAAGGAGTGTCACGGGGGCCGAGAGTGTGAGAGGGGAGAGCAGCAGCAGCCATGCCTGCCGTGAAGTGGTGACAGGCGGAGAGGAGGGCACAGGGTTGGAGGAGGGGGGAAAGGAGGAGTGGGAGGGGAGGAGTGGAGAGGGGAGGGGGAGAGCAGGGAGGTGAGGTGTGGGCGCGGGCAGTGCAGCTACCGGAGCGGGTGTGCCATGTGGTGGCAGGGGGCAACCAGGACCACAATGCCACTGACATGCGCATCATGGTGTCGTCCCCTGTTGTGAGTGGTGCTGCCATCACGCCGTCATGCCACCATGTCATCATCACTGTTACTATTGCCCTCCACTCTTCTCTCCTCCCCTCCTCTGATGCTACTCTCCTGTTCCCCAGTGCTGCCGCATGTGCCACCACTGTAGTCTCCCCACTTCCTCTCCTTCCCTGCCTCTCACACCCCCCTTGTCGCCCCTCACACCCCCCTTGTCGCCCCGCACACCCCCTTGTCGCCCCTCACACCCCCTGCTGCGGCTTCCTCTTCTCGTCCCCCCTGCCCCATCAGATGCCTGAAGCCGTGTGTGCGGTGCACATGCCCTCGGGCGCCCTCTCGCTGCTGCACCAGGAGCCGTACGACCGCCAGCCCAACCCTCACCACCAACAGCAGCCACAGCAGCCACAGCAGCAGCAGAGGCATCAGCAGCTGCAGCATCAGCAGGAGCAGCCAATAGATATCTCCCCTTCGACATCACCTCCACACTCCCCCAGCACTCCCCTACCCCTATCGCGCGTGCCTGGGCTGGCCTGCCAGCGCGTGTGGGCGAGAGCAGAGGACGGCACAGCCGTGCCGCTCACTCTCATCCACCACGAGGGCAGGCGCACGGACGCCACGGGCCCCGCGCTGCTGGAGGGGTATGGGGCGTACGGGGAGGTGATGGCGGCGGACTGGGTGCCACACCGCCTGCCTCTGCTGCACCGCGGCTGGACCATCGCCCTTGCACACACCAGGGGGGGCGGCGAGCTGGCCACGCATGGCACGAGGCAGGGCGTGGGGAGCAGAAGCGTCGGGCGGTGGGGGATTTGATGGCGTGCGCGAAGTACCTGGTGCGGGAGGGGTGGGCGGGGCGAGACAGGCTGGCGGCCAGAGGCAGCAGCGGGGGGGGCTTTCTGGTGGCAGCTGCTGTCAATGCGGATCCCAGCCTGTTTCAAGCCGTGGTGCTGGATGTGAGTGGTGCAGCGAAGCCACATCGCCAGGAGCTCATATTTTCCCATCACTTTGGACTTCCTCTTGTGCTCACACATGCTTCACCCCGTACATACCATAGGCCCACTATATCCCTTGCTGCGCCCCCCCCCCCCACTTCTTCCCCCCTCCCTTCCCGCCCCCAGGTGCCATTCCTAGACGGTCTGGCGTCCATGTGCAACCCCGCCCTGCCGCTCACAGTGCTGGACCGCCACGAGTGGGGCGACCCCCTGGCTTCCCCTGCTGCTTTCCGCGCCCTGAGGGCGCTGTGCCCCGTGCTGAACGTGCAGCCAGGGGTGCGGTACCCTGCCGCACTGCTCTCCACCGCCCTGCACGACTCCAGGTGTGGCCCCCTCTGCTGCCCTGTGCGCCACATGCCATACTCACTCCTTCGCGCCCCACTCTTTGCTTTGTGAAGTGAACCACTTGGCTCCCTGTTCTGCTCGTTTTGCTATGCTCGGTTTGCTGCTCTCTGGCTCCAGCCACTGCGCTTTCAGGTGCACATTACTATGGTATGCATCTCATGTGCTGTGTTTCACGCCCTATGGTTCATACTCGTGCCATGTACAATGTGTTACGCGCCATCCACTGCTTCCTGCGCATCCCCAACTTGCCTTGTTCTCTCCACCCCCCCCCAGGGTGGGGCCGTGGGAGCCGTTGAAGTGGGCAGCGAGGGTGCGGGAGGAGAGTGAGTATGACGACAGCGAGAGGCCGGTGGTGGTGCGTGTGTGGGGCGACAGGGGGCACGTGGCGCCGAGCAGCGGCAGGGAGCAGCTGGAGGATGTGGCGCTGGAGCATGCCTTCCTGCTCAGGCATGTCGGTGGAAGCGGCTGAGCATGCCCTGCTCTTCCACCTCTCCTTTTTGGGCTCAGCCGAGCAAGGTTCAGAGCAAGCTGTGTGCTGCACACTCGTGCTGGCTCCGCTGGCTGATTCCAGAACGTGACACCAATCTTCCGCGCATTGCAGCACTGATGTGAAGAGGGTTGTCTTGACAAAAGCCAAGCTCATCAAATTTTTGCATGATTCATGATGTAGGGCTGCAAGCCCGCAACACATCTATTTCTGTTCATATATGGTTGATCATGGTTGATGTATCTAACTGGTCCGATAACTGAGGAGGCATGACTACCGATGGCAGAGCAATGGCCTTTCACTCTACTGATTCTGCACTCACACACACACAGCACCACGGGCACAGCACGCGCAAAGGGACATTGGAACAAAGAAGCTAGTCAACGGGAGGGTGCAAGGGAGGCTGTTCACAGAGTGTGCGCGAGGGAGCATGTGGGAAGGTAAGGCAGAGGGAGAGAAGGGTCCCACCTGCTGCGAGTGGTCAAACGCCTGCCCGCCTGACGGCCCTCCCTGCCGCCCGTAGAATGCCTCGCCCCCTCCCCCTCCCATGCCCATCCCACCCCATCCCCCCATGCCGAATGAACCCGCTGCTGCTGCTGCCTGCAGTTGCTGTGAGAAGCAAAAGGGTGGGGGAGATGGATGGGAGGCGCGGAGCAGCAGGAGGGTGGGGGAGATGGATGGGAGGCGCGAGCAGCAGGAGGGTGGGGGAGATGGATGGGAGGCGCGGAGCAGCAGGAGGGTGGGGGAGATGGATGGGAGGCGCGGAGCAGCAGGAGGGTGGGGGAGATGGATGGGAGGCGCGGAGCAGCAGGAGGGTGGGGGAGATGGATGGGAGGCGCGGAGCAGCAGGAGGGTGGGGGAGATGGATGGGAGGCGCGGAGCAGCAGGAGGGTGGGGGAGATGGATGGGAGGCGCGGAGCAGCAGGAGGGTGGGGGAGATGGATGGGAGGCGCGGAGCAGCAGGAGGGTGGGGGAGATGGATGGGAGGCGCGGAGCAGCAGGAGGGTGGGGGAGATGGATGGGAGGCGCGGAGCAGCAGGAGGGTGGGGGAGATGGATGGGAGGCGCGGAGCAGCAGGAGGGTGGGGGAGATGGATGGGAGGCGCGGAGCAGCAGGAGGGTGGGGGAGATGGATGGGAGGCGCGGAGCAGCAGGAGGGTGGGGGAGATGGATGGGAGGCGCGGAGCAGCAGGAGGGTGGGGGAGATGGATGGGAGGCGCGGAGCAGCAGGAGGGTGGGGGAGATGGATGGGAGGCGCGGAGCAGCAGGAGGGTGGGGATATGGATGGGAGGCGCGGAGCAGCAGGAGGGTGGGGAACACGGATGGGAGGCGCGGAGCGTGAGGGCAACAGTAGAGGAAACGGAGTCGGAAGGAATGGCGATGGCCAAGTGAAAGAAATGGAGCTGCAGCAGCGGGTGGCACTGACCTGTTGTTGCAGCAGCGGGCGGCACTGGCCTGTTGTTGCAGCAGCGGGCGGCACTGGCCTGTTGTTGCAGCAGCGGGCGGCACTGGCCTGTTGTTGCAGCAGCGGGCGGCACTGGCCTGTTGTTGCAGCAGCGGGCGGCACTGACCTGTTGTTGCAGCAGCAGCAGCTGCATGTTGGGGTCCAGGGCGCCGGCCACATTGAAGCCAGCCAGCGATCCTCCCTGCACCGCCACCAGCGCCTCACTGCATGCACCCCACAACAGACGGCCACAAGAGCCACTTGAGAAAGAGGCTGGAACACACACCCACGATAGGCGCAACACAGCAGACGCAAGAGGCAGGGCCACGCGCCCCACAAGCGCCCCCCCCCCCCCCCCCACCCACCCCCCACCTCTTGGAGACGCGGAAGAGCTCGATGTAGCGGTTGCCCATGTGCTGGCGGTGGCGCTCCATGGCGCGGCCAGCCTCCTCCGCCGACGCGAACTCCACAAACGCCTCGCCCGTGGGGCGGTCGTTGTGCCCCGTCATGATGTGCACACCGTTCCCCACCACCTCGTACCCCTCAAAGAACGCCAGAATGTCCTCCTGCCCCGCGCTGAACGGCAGCCCGCGCATCTTTATGCACACGTTCTCCGACGCCGCCGCCGCCGCCTGCGCTGCGCCCACCCCTCCCGCGCCCCCCCTGGGCCTCCCATGCCTGCCCCTCCCATGCCTGCGCCCCCCATGTGCATGGCTGCTAGGTTGGCCGCACCCAAGCTGGGCATGCCAAAGCCCATCATGCCCGGCACCTGCGAGCCACACAGCGGGGGGATGTGCGAGACGAGAGAGAAGAACGCACAGGGGCTCGGTGGTGACAAGGGAGACGTGGAGGCGAACAGCACGGCTGCACGCAGCGCTGCTGTGGTCAGTATTGACTCATCGAATGCCCGGTGCGTGCCTGTGAGGCGATAGAGACAGCGAGGCGACATGCGGGTAAGAAAGGACGCACCGGGCCCATGAAGGGCGGCATGCCCCGCCGAACATGGAGTACATGCGCTGCTGCACCGCCGCCATCATCTCGCCCTTGGTGCTGCGGAACAGCTCCACGTACCGCTGGGGGGGGGGGGGGAGGAGGAGGGGGACAGATGGTGGGGCGGGGGTGAGTGAGAGGTGAGGGGCAAGGAGTGGAGAGAGGCAACGGTAGAGGAGCAAAAGCAGGAGGAAGAGCGAAAGGAGAAGAGGGCGAGGAGTGAGCCGGACGGCAGACACGTGGCGAAAGCAGAGCGTCATTGACGCATGGGAGGCAAGACGCAAGAACCCGCATGGGCGAGGGAACGAAGCAAGAGCATGGAGGGGGGAGATAGAGGGAGCGAGGGGTGGCGAGCGCACATGGCCCATGGGCTCCCGGTGCAGCTGCAGCGCTCTCGCCGCCGTCTCCTCATTCGCGAACTCCACAAACGCCTGCACGCACGCAGACACGCCCGCATTCATCCGCACGCACGCACCCATGGACACACGCATGGCCAAGCATGAGGACAACCGAGCCACAGACGAGAGACGGAAGGAACGAGCGACGTGCGCTGCATGGAGGAAGGAATCCAAGGCAGCGCAAGCGGGGGAGGTGGCGCGATCTGACCTCGCCGGTGGCGCGGCCGTCGGGGTGCGAGCACACGAAGATGCCGTCGTGCGCCACCTGCATGCCCTTGAAAAACGCCGCTATGTCCGCCGACGTCGCGCTGCCGGCAGCACAGAGCAGGAGACAATGCGATGGAGGGGCGAGGGGGACGATTGAGGCGGCAGGGCGTTGGGGGAGTCGCGGGGAGCGATGATGCCGCAGGGAGGCGCGGAAGTGCGCGGAGCAAGGCATAGCAAGAGATGCGAGACAGGCGCAGGGCATGCACCTGCATGGCATGGATGGCATGGATGGCATGGATGGCATGGCAGGGCAAGGCGCATGGTTGGGACACCTGAGAGGGCCCGCACCTGTAGGGCATGCCGCGCATGCGGATGACGCCGCTGTAGCGCATGTCCGTGTTGCCCGCCATCCCTGGCACCCCACCACCCGCACCACCCGCAACCATCCCAGATGCCGCCGCCGCCATATTGGGAGCCATGCCCATATTGGCCGCCCCCGCCCCCGGACCACCAGCACCCGAACCAGCAGCAGCCGCGCCCCGCCCAGCCATCCGCAAGGCCCCCTGCATTCCATGAGAATCCAATCCAATCCAATCCAATCCACCACACTTCTACTCCATTCCATTGCGCTATCCCGGCTAGCCGCACAGCATTGCACTATCCAATGAACGTTACCGTGGTAACCACATGTGGCACTGCCGTTACCAGCGTAACCATGAGTGAGATGCAGCAGCTGGTCTAGGCATGCACGAGCACACGACTGAAAGCGAACAGCTTCAAAGCGAACCGCGAGCACGCACCTCCATATCTGCTACGTGGCCCTTGAAAACCTCGATATAGCGCGATCCGATGTGCTGCCTGGAACACAGTGGACGACAGCATTAGCGAGCATGCAGCGGAGAAGAGTGATATGAACGTGCGACGTGGATGCGCGACGGCTCGTCGCACCTGTTGCGGTCGAGCGCCTTGGTCGCATTCTCGGAATCGACGAAGCGAACGAACGCCTGACCTGTCGCCCGACCTGCCGTGGCATAGAGGGAGCGGATCGACGGAAGGCGAGAGGACGCATGTGAGAGGAACGCGACGCACGGCACAGCACGGCACAGCACGGCACGGCACGAGGCGAACAAGACGACGCGCGAGGATCGCGATACGCCAAGCGGAGGGATGAGCGACGAGCAGCAGCGTCACCTTGGTAGTTGAGCTGCAGCACGATGCCGTCCGGCGCGATGTCGAGCCCGTTGAAGAAGGCCGTGATGTCGCCCTCCGTCGCGCTGAACGGTAGCCCGCGCAGCCGCACCACGTGGCTCCGCGCCCTGCCATCCCGCGAGGGGGGGGAGCGAGAGGTGGCAGTGAGATCGACAGGGTTGACGGACGCGACATACATGGGACAGCCGCCGAGAAAGCAGACAAGCAGTCAGGGTCGTTCCATGATGCAGTCGAGTCACAACAGTCAAGGCGCGATCCGAGGCACTCACAGCTCATCGTCGAGAGAGCTGTTCCCGGCAAGACCGCCGCCTGACATGCTGGCTGAGCGAGATGGTATCTGGGAGAGAGGAGATTATGGCTGACACTGATGGGATCTAGGATGCCGAGTTGCGGGAATCAAAACCCTAATTTTGATGGACCCACCACAGATCTCGCACGAGATAATCAGACAGGCACGGAGATCCCAGAGTTTGGGCTCTTGGTGATGCGCAAGTGCGTGATTCGTTATTGGATGGTCGTGTAGCCTTTGATAATGTTGGAAGCAGGGTGCATCATGAATACAGTGACGAACTTTTTATGTTGGAGGCTGTCTGACGTGGCGAGATCTCTCATGTCTCGGTGAAGGCATAACCATCGTGGCACCAATCACGGCAGCCGCATCATCCACGGCACCCGTCCCATTCACCTGCGCCAATTCCTGCCTTCCGCACTTCCCACCAGCAGCGCCCGCCATTTCCAGCGAATCCGCTCTTCGCATCCGCGCCACTGCCCAATCCGCTCACGCCACTCATCCCCTGCCCGCCTCTCAAACTTTCCTGCCAGTTTGCAGACAATCCCCAGGCTCAAGGCTTGAATCTTGATGCCTGATCAGATCGATCGAGATTCAGGTCACCCTGCTGCTGTTCCACTCCCAGAGTAGAGACCTCTCGTGTGTTTTCTGTCGCTGACGGCTAACTTGTGCCGCCTTCGTCCACTCACTCGCGTGTGCTCATCGCCATGGCGTCCATTGCCACGTCAGCAGAGCGAGCAGTCGTTCTCCAGTCGCACGGCCTTCGATCCGCCGCTGCCGCTGGGTCGCTTGGCAGCAGCTCGTCGCATGTCTTTTCCCCACTAAAAGTAGCCTCGTTACGGTGAGTCCGGCCAACAAGCAACGACCGTCCATTTCGAGATGGTCTTGGTTCGTCTCGCCTTCAACACTCCGCTTCCTGACATCTTACTCGTACAAATGCGACTGCTGGATTATCGTCTGTCGCCCTCTCACGCCGTGCTCTCTCGACTGCCTTCCGTGCAGTGCCGCGCGCACCGGGTCGTCGTCAGCCAAGTCCAATGTCACTGCCGTGCGCGCGTCTTCCGACTCAGGCACGTGCATTCTGCATCAGACCACATCGCCGTGCCTCGCAATGCCTCACCCCGCCACTCACGCCGTCTCCCATCCGCAGGTTGCACACGAGCAAGCAAGCCCGTTGCTCGCCCATCGCCACGCGCGCATTTCTCTGACATCAACCTCAGTCGTCTTCTGTTCTGATGGTCCTCTTACCCGGCTGTAGTCAATACTCACTCCGACTTGTCGGTTTCTTTCGCCATGCACCCCTGCCTGTGTGCGACGTCGCAGAGTATCGCACGGGCGTGAAGCGCAATCACAACATCGGAAAGCTACAGGCGGGCTACCTGTTTCCCGAGGTACGCCGCTCTCTGCTCGCCCACGTTGCTCACGCGAAACCAAGCCATCCATTCTCTCCACTGCACGACCCCACCCGCCTCCCATGGCCGCCAGCACCACTGCCGCGCCCCCCTCTGTCCCATGGCCGCCGATTCACTCCTCCCTGATCCCCCTCGCACCCCCCTCTCCCCCGCGTGGCCCTGGCAGATCGCGCGGCGGCGGCGCGCGCACCTGGAGAAGCACCCCGAGGCGAAGATCATCAGCCTCGGCATCGGCGACACCACGGAGCCCATCCCTGACGTCATCACCGCCGCCATGGCCAAGGTAAGATTGGTGGGGGGGCAGAGAGATGGAAGTGAGTGTGACCAATGCGACTGGATGTGACTAACGGGGACGAATGATTGTGCACTGACGAAAGTTGCAGAGCAGAACTACGCAGGGAATGAGAAGCTTGTAAAGCTCTTTTTTTATGCACAGGGAAGGTGACTGAAACAAACGTCACAGCAACTGGTGAATGGCAAGAGTTTGCTCAGCCAGTCTCTACCCCGCCCTGCTCTCTGTATTCCACTCCTTCTCCTTATCCCCCTGTCTCGCTCAGAGGGCGCAAGGGCTATCAACGCCAGCGGGCTACTCCGGCTATGGCGCAGAGCAGGGCGAACAGGTGAACTGTTCTGGCTATGGAGCAGAGCAGGGGGGGAGGGGGGGGCGATTGGGGGACCAGAATCGTGAAGGGGGTTGGGAGGAGGGTGGGGTGGGGCGGAGGAGGGTGGGATTTAGCTCATAGGGGAGTAGGATGTCATGGCACTGGTCAATGCAATATCCTGAGATAATCACACTACAAATCTCTCATAAGCTGGCCACAAGGTGGCCCAGTGCTGCCTCGTGCCCCATGTCATCCCCCGCGCTCACTGCGCGCCGTCCCTATCCGTGCCCCGTCAGGCCCTGCGCGCGGCCATCTGCAACACGTGGTACGGCAAGCTGGGCATCACCGAGGACGAGGTGTTCGTGTCGGACGGCGCCAAGTGCGACATCGCCAGGCTGCAGGTCGGCGCACTGCATTCATGCTCTCACGTGCCCTTCCTTTTTCCACTTCTTCACGCTTTAACTGGCTTCTTACAGTCTCAACCCTTCCCCTGTTGGCCCCTCCCTGCATATGTCCTCAACACACAATCCCCTCTGCCTCCTGTCTCCCCTCCCCCCATCCATCACCTCTTTCACAACCAGATGATGTTTGGCGCTGACGTCACCATGGCCTGCCAAGACCCCTCCTACCCGGTATGTCCCATTCCATCCCACCCCCAACCGCTGCTGCCCTCTTCTAGTCTCACCGCCTCCCCTCCTCCTTGTGCCCCTTGGCCCGTGCGCGGCTTTGACGCGTATCAACTCCCCTCGCCGTTCACCATCCCATGCATCCCTCTGGCGCACGTGTGGTGCGCATGGCATGGCAGGCATACGTGGACACGAGTGTGATGATGGGGCAGACGGGGCTGTACGTGCCGGACACGCAGCAGTTTGGCAACATGTCGTACCTGCGCTGCTCGCCCGAGAACGACTTCTTCCCCGACCTCGCCTCCGCACCGCGCACGGACATCATCTTCTTCTGCTCGCCCAACAACCCCACGGGTCAGTGCAGCAACCCCACGGGTCAGTGCAGCAACCCCACGGGTCAGTGCAGCAACCCCACGGGTCAGTGCAGCAACCCCACGGGTCCGTGCAGCAACCCCACGGGTCCGTGCAGCAACCCATGGTTCCCGCTTGCACTCTCGCCTCTTCCTGTGTCCCACTGTCCACTTCAATCCACCCTTCTCCCCCTCGTCCCCATGTCCCCCTCCCCCTGTGTGCGTGCAGGCCGGGCGGCGTCGCGGCAGCAGCTGCAGCAGCTGGTGGACTTCGCGCGGGCCAATGGGTCGATCATAGTGTACGACTGCGCGTACGCCATCTACATCGAGGACGACTCGCCCAAGTCCATCTACGAGATTCCCGGCGCACACGAGGTGGCCATCGAGACGGGGTCCTTCTCCAAGTATGCGGGCTTCACCGGCGTGCGCTTGGGGTGGTCTGTGGTGCCAGCAGCGCTGCGCTATGCGGACGGGCATGCGGTGCGGGCGGACTTCAACCGTGTCACATGCACCTGCTTCAACGGCGCCAGCAACGTCTCCCAGGCTGGCGGACTCGCCTGCCTCTCGCCAGAGGGGCTCGAGGTGAGGGGGGAGGCAAGGAGGGAGAATGGGAGCAGCGAAAACAGGGTCTTTCGGCCTGTTGAATGCCTTCTGCTATTAATGCCTCGTGATCCCTCTGTCCCCACATCCTCTCCCTGCACCCCCTTCCCTTCTCCCCCCCCCAGGCCATGGCGTCGCTGGTGTCCTTCTACAAGGCCAATGCCGCGATCCTCAAGGCCACCTTTGAGGCGCTGGGCTTTGAGACGCACGGCGGGGACAACGCGCCGTACGTGTGGGTGCGCTTCCCCGGGCGGTCGTCGTGGGACGTGTTCGCCGAGATCCTCGAGAAGGCCGACATCGTCACCACGCCCGGCAGTGGCTTTGGGCCGGGCGGCGAGGGCTTTGTGCGCGCCAGTGCGTTTGGGAGCCGAGCAAACATCGAGGAGGCGGCCAGACGTATCACCAAGCTGTACTCGTGAATGCAGAAGAGGGGGGGAGGGGGGCAGCTAGGGGTGGGGGGTAGAGTGGGAGGCGGAGGTGCATGGTGTACTGATGTTCAGGGAGGCCTAGGGACGCTGGACAGGGGGATGATGGCGCCAGTGTAGATGAGCTTGTGTCATCATTAGTACCAATCCCACACGGGAGGCATTTTACTGAGTACCTATTCCCAGCCTTGGCAGATGCAGAGTTGCCGCCCGCACACAACCTCCATGCGATGGCAGTTGAAGCATGTGCAGTGCATGCATGTAGGGGGAATACCTGCAATTGTGGCAACAAGTACGACAGCAGCAGCTCACCACAGCCGCAACACCCACACATCTGGGTCGGCACTGACAGTATTCTGCAACACTTACCTGGTATGGCACTAACTCACACGGCGGCAGCACCATGCTGTGCGGTAAGGACTGGAGGCAAGAGCACCCAGGGTGCTCAGCAGTGGGGAATTGACCCTGTGGAAAGGCTGGCTCAAAGAACAGCAACACATTTTAGAATTCAATAGGCTTCAAGGCATGGCGCCTAGCTGGTTTCTCAATGACACAGTTTAGGTAGAGCTGGTGCGCCTCTATTTCACCGCGGTCGGGCTTGGGCATGAGCGTCCAGTGCAGCTTGCGGTATCTGAGCTGCTCCAGCACCGCCACGTACAGCACCATGTCCTCCACCGGCGCGTAGAACATCTCAAACCACAGGATGCCGCCTGCCACACACACCCGCAAGGGGGCTCGCAATGGGAGAGAAGGGAGATTAACGACCTTGAATGGAGTAACTTGATCAAATTGTGACGAGACAGCAATGGCTAAGATAGATGAGAAGGAAGCCGAAGCAGGTAAGGCAGGATGAAGAAGTGTGGTGCAGCAGGGCACTGACCTTGGCGCAGCACTGACCTGGCCTGAGCACGCGGTCCCACTCGTAGACGAGCTCCTCGAACTCTAGCACGGGCATGTACTTGACGCTGTTCACATTGTGCACCACATCCAACGTGTTGTCGTAAAAGGGCAGCCGCGCCTGGTCATGGTGCCACAGCCATGGTTGGTGGCACAGGAAGGCAGGGCATGGGGAATAAAAAGGGGTGGAGGCGCAGAGGGGAGGCGGAAATGAGAGGTGGGAGTGGATGGCAGGAGAGCAGCGCACAACGGGTGAGCGACCAGGCAACGCAGGACTCAGGCGAGGCTGACTGGCAGAGCCATGGGCCATGGTGATGGGGAGCTGTGCGGCATGAGGCACACCTTGTGCGGCAGGACGAGGGGGATGAGACCACCTTGTGCAGCAGGAGGAGGGGGATGAGCCCACCTTGTGCGGCAGGAAGAGGGGGATGAGCCCACGCATGGCGATGGCCTCGAAGTACGGCAGGCCGGCGTGGCGGCCCGACACGGTCTCGTAGTTCATGGCGGTGGTCATCACCGTCACGCCTTGCAGCGCCATGTGCGCCGCAAAGCTGCCCGTGCCGCCGCCCACGTCCAGACCCAGTCTGCAGAGGATAGCAAAGAGAAGTGGGCAGAGAGAGAGGGACAGGCGGCCCAACAGCATGAGATTCAGCATGGGAGAAAGGGGTGGGGGCATGTAGGGGGAGTGATGAGGATATGGTAGAGAGAGAAGAATGGGCCAAGTAGTGGGGCACAAGCGTCAACTACGCTTAAGCTGCAGTGCGTGCAGGCAGCAGCAGCGGCGCACCTGAGCGAGCCGTTCTTCATGCGGATGACGTCTCGCATGGTGGGGTTGCCTCGGAAGCGGTGCTGCCAGCGGTGGCTCTCCAGCGACAGGTTGAAGCAGTTGCGGCAGTCGCCCAGCGCGCGGCTGTTGAGGCACTGGAACGACGCGCACTGCTGCTGCCCCCACCGCACACTGCCGTCCGCCAGGGCTGCTTGCTCAAACAGCGACCGCGGGAACGGCAGCGGCTGGGAGCGACAGCAGGGGGTTGGGGGAAGGTTGGAGAGCGGTGAGGTGGTGGGTGGTGATGAAGGCTGCCCGGCACTACACGGTAGCAGGAAAACGTTCGCTGCCTAAGGCCTTCCTGCCCTTCCTGCCCTACAACCGTTCTGGTGAGGAGCTGCTAGTTTCATCTCATACCAGTCACCACTCTTACCTCTGTGGGGTGCTGCGGCGTGCGGGCAAGGCAGGCACGGGGCGGCAGGGCGAAGCAGTTTTTGAGGAAGACGAGGTCCTGCACGAAGAACCAGTCGTCGGGGCACAGCGCCCTGGCCTCCACGTCCGTGTACCGCTGGATCTGCGACGGGGCCGCCTCACATGCATAGCCCTGAGGGACAAGGGGCAGACGACGGAGGGACAGGGTGTGGGGAGGTGGGTGAGAGGCCTGGAGGGAAGAGAGGAGGGAGAAAGTGAGGGAAGGAGGGGAGATGAGAGAGGAGGGAGAAAGCGAGGGAGGGAGGGGAGATGAGAGAGGAGGGAGAAAGCGAGGGAGGGAGGGGAGATGAGAGAGGAGAGAGCAGGAGCAGCAAATGCAGCAGGGTTGTGAATCGGTCGGTTGGTTGTGCTGCTGACCTTCCAGGAAAGTGGCGGCCCCTTGGGCGTGCGCTTGGGTTGCCTCTGCAGCGCGCGGCGGTCTAGAGAGAGCGGCGCACAGCGGTCGGGGTCAGAGGGCGACGAGGAGAGCAGAAACTGGGGGGGGGGGGGGAGGGAGGGATAGGCGTGTGGGATAAAGGTTGCACTGGCAGGCAGGGAAGGTGGGCCAGGTGGTGCATGAGAATAGGATTTGCACGGAATCACTTTGCTCTCAATAAACAACACGTGTGCTGAAGGTTGAGGAGGAGTGCATTGAAGGTTGCACAGAGAAACTGGGAGTGGCATGGTGCATGAGGAGTTACCTGGTGAGTGAGGGTTACCTGTGTGTGAGGGTTACCTGGTGCGTGAGGGTTACCTGGTGCGTGAGGGTTACCTGGTGCGTGAGGGTTACCTGGTGCGTGAGGGTTACCTGGTGTGTGAGGGTTACCTGGTGCGTGAGGGTTACCTGGTGTGTGAGGGTTACCTGGTGCGTGAGGGTTACCTGGTGCGTGAGGGTTACCTGGTGCGTGAGGGTTACCTGGTGCGTGAGGGTTACCTGGTGCGTGAGGTTGTCTGACGCCCAGTGGCCCTCCCCCTGCAGCACGGCTTGGATGTTGGCTGCTTCCTTTGCCAGCTGCTCCACCGCCACCTGCCAGCTCGGGGGAGCACAGCGAGTGGGGGAAGCAGAGGGCGTGAAGCGGAGGGAGATGGGCGGAGAGCGAGGGCACAAGACCCGAAGCCAGAAGTGGGGCATGCGACTCACCGCCAGGTCGCTCATCTCACCGCCAGGTCGCTCATCTTGGCCTTGACTTCCGCCACCTCCGCCTCCACTGCTGCCACTGCCGCCTGCACGCCCTCCCTCGTGCCGGCTGCTTGCACCAGCAGCCGCCTGCGCGCCCCTGCTGCCCCCCCGCTGCCATGTGGCTTGGCTACGAGTTGTCCACTGGAACCTCCCTCCTCTGATGCACATATAAGGAGAAGACATGCACATGAGGACAGCAACAATGGCGAGCAGGGCAGGCGAACGAGGGAGTGCAAGGTGGAGGCACGAAGCACATGGCGTCACTCACTCGCTCGCAGCGCTCTCAGCCGATCCACCTCCTCCCAGCACTCGGAGCACTCCTCCTCCTCCCTGCCCGCCCCGCCGCTCCCTCGTCCCTCTGCCTGCTCCTTCCCTGCCACGCCTGCCTCTCTTCCCCCTCCCCCACCACCCGCCTGCCCGCCCACCCTCCGCCTCACGTGCTCGCCTTCCAGCCCCCAGAACGGCTCGCAGCCCCGCCAGTAGCCACGCCCCCCTCGCCCTGTGCCGCGTGCGCGCCTCTGGACCCACCCCTGCCGTGCTGCTGCCACCACCACCGCTGCTGCCATGTGCGGAGGTAGCTGTGGTGGCGTTGGTTGCGGTGGGAGGTGATGGGGCTCGCCACATTGCACTGCGCTTCATGCACGCACATGCACATGCACATGTTACACACATCACGGGGAGACACCCACACACACATATACACTGAGTCACACGGAGACACACATTGCATGTGTGAGTACAAGCCTAACCCCAAGGAATGAAACGTCTCGGAGCCACTCAAATAGCATGCCATCGCCCGTCGTCACACACTTCCCCTCGGTTCCCCTCCCCCCCACCCTTCCTCTTACTCTCATACTTCTCGCCCCTCACTCCGAGCCTCTCCTCCACAATCACCACCCGTCCCCTCAGGCTCCCCCTCTCTTCCCCCCTCCTCACCTCACTATTCGTGTCAGCGGCCCGCTCACCGCCGCCTCCTCCTCTCTGTCGGCCGAGCGCGCCTGCTCTCGCGCGCGCGTCGTGGAGGGCAGCAGCGGCGCGATGTGCTCGGACGCCACGAGCGCCACGAACACGATGCTCACCAGCGCGTACGGCCACGTCGCCTTCCGCGACGGCCTCAGCCGCGCGCACACTGCGCACAGGCACGCGCAAGCCCCCGCATAACAGCCCTTCCCCTGCTGCGCCCTTCCCCCCCCATCCGCGCCCGCCGCGCCACCCTCGCGGGGCGCCTGAGTCCGCCTGCCTCCCCCCTGCCCGATCCCTCCCCGCCTGGCGCTTGGCGCGCAGCGGGCTGCGGCTTGGGCGCGGACGTGGCGACGAAGGGCGCGCCGTACGACATGGCGGCGTGCGACGAGCCATAGGGCAGGCGACCGCCGATGCGACGCTCGGGACCTGGCGGGCGATGGCGGGCGACGGGGAGGAGAGAGAGGAGGCGGAGGGGGGCAGTGAGAAGTGGCGGGGGAAGGAGAGAGCAGCGGAGGGGAGTGAATTAGGGGGTGCGGGCGAGGAGTGGAGGCACGTGGCACCTGGAGGCACGTGGCACCTGGAGGCACGTGGCACCTGGAGGCATTGTGAATTGGGTGCGCGGAGTGCGGCGGCGAGGAGTGCGGAGGACAGCTACGTGGAGACGCGGGTGGCGCGATCGCGACTCGGGGACAGTTCTCTACCGCCTACTCGTGTTGGCAAGTTTTCTAGCACCTCGGACGTGTTCCCCGGGAGGGACTACAGATGTCGGACTAACGCGTGGACGATCGTGTTGGGATGAATAACGTTGCAGGGATAGGAAGAGGCACAGGCGCGAAATTTGCGACTCATACGGTAGTAGAATAGAACTAAAACCGATACACCCGGTCATGATAAACATATTGCTACATATATTAGCTACAAGTAAAAGCTATCCCAAAACTGTCATCTACCGGTATCCAGAGTGAAGGAAGTGCAATTGGCTTGCCCTGCGCGGTTTCAGACAGAGACGGTGCTGAGCTTGGACGCCACCTCAGCGGCGTAGACGCGCGCCCATTGGTCGAAGTGCACGATGTCCTCCAGCGACGGCGCTACCACAGGTCGTTGCGGTGGCGGTCGCATGTGCTCTCGATGACCCGGCAGATGTCCAGGTAGGAGATTCTGTGAGAGGGGGAGGGAGGTGGGGGGGACAAGATGATCAGCAGGCCCCCCTGAGTATGCCAAGATAGACAAGTGTGGAATGCATATTCTCCTCATGCATGAGGCATGAGAGCGTGGCAAGGCCATGATAGCAGCTTGGCTCACTTGTCGTCGAGAAACATCTCCACCGCCTGCCTCGTTGGCCGCACTCAGCACGCCCGTCATGGTACCGCCTGCCCCCCGCCGCGTATGACAGGTCCATGGACGGGTACTTGTCGCGGTTGGGCTCCCGGAACGTCAAGTCGCCCATCCTACAAGGAGAAGGGTGGGGGAAGGGGGGGGGGGGTGGGAACAGGGGGGATGGGAACAGTGGACGAGGGGCATGAGGGGAACGGTAAGGGGCCAAATGTCAAGACAAGAGGTTCAGACAAAATACAAGAACGCGATTGGTATCGGAGAAGAAAGCATTTCCACATTTCTGAAATAAGACATGGTAATTGCAGCAGAGCAGAGGCGAAACAGGCTAAAGAAAGGTCAAAGGCGATATCATGAGAAGCAAAGGGAGTGAGGAGGGCAAAAGTAGGGGCATGAGGCACAAGGGGCGGGAGGCCATGAGGGCAAGAGCGCTTGCCGGCATGCTGGCATGAAGGCATGCGGGCATTAGGGCATGAAGGACGAGAGGGGCAGGGGCGGGAGGGCATGAGAGGCATGAGGGGCAGGAGGCGGGCATGAGGCCATGCGGGCAGAAGGGCATGAGAGCATGAGGCCATGAGAGCATGAGAGCATGAGAGCATGAGAGCATGAGAGTATGAGGCCATGAGAGCATGAGGGCATGAGGGCATGAGGGCCGGAGGGCAGCACTTGATGAAGTCAAGGCGGGGCCAGGTGATCTCGGAGGTGGGCACGCGGTCGGGCCAGGAGAGCGTGTAGAGGATGGGCAGGCGCATGTCGGGCCACCCCAGCTGCGCCAGCACCGACGAGTCCTGGGGGGCGCAGGGGCGGGGGGGGATGCAACGCCAGCACAGAATCAAAGAGAGGCGCGGGGAGGAGGCAGAGCAGCACGGGCAAGGCAATACAGTGAGGGATTGATGAGTGTCTCTCCCATGCACAAGTGTCGACCATGCTCACCTGCGTCTCCACCATGGAGTGGATGATGCTCTGCGGGTGGATGACGATGTCGATGTTGTCGTAGTCCGCGCCAAACAGGTAGTGCGCCTCAATCACCTCCAGCCCCTGCCGGTGGGATGGCAATGGCAATGCATGGCAGCTGGGCGCCACATGAGTTGAAGAGGGCGGACATGTTTCGAAAATTAGACAGTTTTGGAACAGTGAGGCACTGGTGGTGTGGTTTGGTTGGGGGCCACGGTTCTGAGAAGATTAACCTTGCATGAGCAGCTGGTTCACTACCATCCCATGTGAGACTCAACTGTGATATCCATGTTGTTTGCTTGAATTCAAGTGTAGTGACCTGTTTGTATTGTACCCCTCCCCTGACTGCTGACCCCCATCCCCTGCCCCCCGCCCCTCCCCCCCCCCCCTGTCCGCCGCGGACCTTGTTCATGAGGGTGGCGGAGTCCACGGTGATCTTGCGCCCCATGCTCCAGTTGGGGTGCTTCAGTGCGTCCGCCGGCTTCACGTCCTTGAGCTTCTCCACGGGCCAGTCCCTGGGGGGTGGCATGTGGGGGAGGGAGAACAATGCACCGCACTCACAACTCAGGCAGGGCTATAGAAAGGGGAAGGGCTTATGGCGTGTGCTCGCTGAGAGGATACAAGAGGTGCGAATGCATGCAGCGACGAGCAGTGACGTCGTGTCGTGTGCTTAAACAGAGGGATGGCGCGTGGGATGTAGCAGGGCAGATGGCATGGCATGGGGCACGGCAGTGTGACAAGGCACCTGAAGGCGCCACCGGAGGCGGTGAGGATGATGCGGCGCAGACCACCCTCTGGCAGCCTTGGATGCACTGCCGCGCACAGGGGAAAGTGGGGGGCCGGGGTTGTCCACGTGGGCCAAGCAGGGGTAAGACTAATCCGAGGCGTCCAAGTGGGTTCAGAGGGGCGCAGATGGGGG